CAGGTCTGCTTTGCCAATGGCCGCCAAGTCCCCTCGGTTCCCCTCGTGGCCACGCGCCGAGCATCCCCCTCCAGGCAGTCGCAGACGAGGGCTCCGCATCCCTCGCCCAACCCCCCCTCCGCCACGCATTGGCGGCGCGCAGAGGGGGGCAGAGGGAGGGGGGGGGGGCGCTCGTTAGAAAGAAGCCACTTCTAAGAAGGCGCGGGCCTTGCATCTACAAACAAGGCCATCGCCTTCTAAGAAGCAGGGGTGCTTCTAAGCAGCTCCCCCGCCCCCCCCCCGCCCCCCTCTGCGCGCGGCTGAACGTAGGCCCTCGCCCACCACCTCGCCCCCGCGCCCGAGCCAATGCGGATGGAGACGGGGGTCGCTGCTGTCAGCCCGTTCTTCGCCACCGCGGGGGCCCCGAGCGGGGCGCGGCTCTCCTCCTCGGCGACGTCCCGCGCGCGCTCGCGCGTCGAGCCCAGGGTCGCGAAGGCGGGCCTGGAGACCATCGTTGCCCGCGCCCAATGCCCGACCGCAGCCGCGATCGCCGCCAGCCGCGGCCTCTCCTCTAGCCTCTAGCGCCGCCGCCTCCGCCGCCAAGGCCACTTCGGCCCACTTCTTGGGCCGCGCCATCAGGGCGCATGGCCAGGTGCCTGCCGCGCCCCCCCGCGGGTCGCCGGGCTGGGCGCGCTCGGGGCCCCGCGGGCCATCTCCTTGTCTTCGACGTTCCTTTCCTCCCAGCCGGGGCCCAGCAACGCGAGCCAAATTAGGTCGCCGGCGTCGGCGCCAGCAGGGGGCGCCCCACCGCGCCCCCTAGGTTCCACAAGCGGGGGCGGCTTTCACGCGCGAGTGCCTTCAGCGATTCGACTCTCGCCCCTGGGCAGCCGCGCTCCAAGGCGACCGCCCGAGCCGAGCCCGTGGCCGAACTGGCCTCGCCGAGTCCCGCATCGCCCGTCGCTGGCTTCGCCAAGGCCACCTGCTGCCCCGGCACGAACTAGCGCAACTCCCGCGGCGAGACACCATCCGCCGCAAAATATTCTGCCTGAGACGAGCCTCAACGCAACCGATGGAACCACTCGGGCACGCCACCCCCCCGGAGTGAGACGAGCCGCCGCCCTCGAATGACCGCCTCGTCCAGCTCCAGGAGGGCTAGACCAGCGGGGCTCCCTAGCGGTGCCCAGGGGGGACCTTGGACCAGGAGGTTCGCCTTCCTGCGGCCCCAAGGCAGACGCGATTTCTCGACGCGCCCAGCACGCGCCCAGTCCGCCACCGTGAAAAGCCCTGCACATTCTCGAACCGCGATATAGGTTATCATGCCCGCCTTTGTGCCCGCGGGCACGCCCCGACCGCTCGCACGCGGTTCTCCGCGCCGGGGTCGCGCGGCTCTTCGCGTGCTCGTACTTCGCCCAGCCCGCCTCGCCCGCCCCCCTGACAATCCTGGTCGAGGCCTTCCTCGGGCGACCCCCGCCAAACCCGAGACGTCATGGGCCGGCAAACTCTGCGTCCCAAGCGCGGGAAAGGACACCTGCGCCGTCTTTGACGGGCTTGTGGATGTCGTCGCCCTCGTCGACGCCGTGAAATGTCCAGTCGGACCGCCGCCCGCCGGGCGACGAAACGTTGCCCTGCCGTCGCCTACGGCGCCCCAGCTCGCCCTCGATGCCCGACGATCCTAAGCCTTTGCGATGAGGGACTTCTGGACAGAGGTGCTCTTCGTCAACTCGCTTCCGTCGGCCAGCCCCCCCCGCGATCAGGTCCTCCGGGCGGGCCCAGCCGCTGAAGCAGCCCGACGCCGTGGTCCGTGCGAGACGTCCCCCGCCCAATCACCATGCAACTCCCGCTCCGACATCCCAGAACTCGACGTCCTCGTCGTCGGGGGAAACGGAGCCACTGGCGGCGTCCGAAGAGAGAGATCACCAGCACCGCACAGTGAAGCCCAAGCAGCGCGGACCGCCACTCCCCAGGATGTGCACGCCAACGGCGGCTCGAGACCGGCGCCGCGGCAGGGCACCCACGCCCCCCAAGCCTTGGCCAGAGCGCGCCACGATAGCTCTGGCCGCAACCTCTTCGTCGCCGCCTGCGGGGCGCCGTGCGCGAGCCTCCTCGGGGCGCCTTTTTTCAAAAAAATGCTCGCCTCTTCAACTTCTCCACCACCTCCACGTCGGCCTTCCTGCACCCGCTGTTGGGGCCACCGTCGAAGCACAGGCGCCCCTCGGCCAAGCAACGGTCCACCTTGCCCTTCTATTTGCCGCCGTACTGACTCTCGGGCCTCTGCCAGTCGGCCTGGCACTCCACCCTTTTATAAGCCTGCCAGATCGAGCGCAGCCACAAGCACCTGAGCTGCGCCGTCTCTGACTTGATCAGCGCGTCGAACTGCCCTGCCGCCATCACGCAGTCCAAGACTATGGCCAACGCGTTGATCTCCGCAGCGACGCCCCTTCGGTCTGCAGCCCCGTGCGTCCGTGCGGTCCTGGTGCAGGGAGCTCCGCGTGGAGAGAGAGAGAGAGAGAGAGAGAGAGACCAACTTGCAAAATTTGGTTTTTCATGGGTCGTCGAGCTCCGTAGTGTCGCCAACCTTGTCCCAGTAGCCACTGCTCCCAGGTGGTAGCGAGTGACTCCGCTGTGGCGGCTCCCGAGTCGCGGTCCATGACCGCCTCGCGCCCGGATGACTTTTTGATGACCGCGCCGATCTCTGCCGTGCGGGGCTCCGCCAGTGGGGCGGGCGCGGGCTGCACAAGCGGCGGGAACGGGGTCCGTTCGTCCGCGCTGCCTCCGCTATTCACACACCCCCAGCCGAACCGAGCTCTGCAGGCTTTGCCTGGCAACGCACCGGCTCCGAAAACAACGCGTTCCCGTCGGGCTCGTCGTCGCCATCCGTCGTGTCCGTGCCCAAGTACTCGCAGCCCTCGTCGGAGGCCGAATCCACCTCACCCCCCGAGTCTGAGTCTTGCTCGCCTGCACTCCTCCCGTCAAGGGCCCAGCCGCTGCAGAGCCGCACCAGGAGCGCTACCAAGCAGCCGGCGACACCCCTCCAGATCCCCGCTGGGGTACAGCTCGGACTCGACATCAGCAACAGTCTGCACGTCTTCCACCGCCTGCAGCCCGCCCATCGAGGTAACTGCCGCTGAGCAGCGAACCCAGCCCGAAACATCGCCACACCCGCCAGGCCACGAGCCCGGCGGCTGCGGACGCGCCAAGCACGCGGTGACTCCAGAGGGTGAAGGCGGTGGAATGCGACTGCGGGTCTCCCGACCTGCTCACGGAGAACATCGCCACCCCCGTGGGCTTGGACCTCGACTGCATGTGCACTCGGTTCTACCGGCTCCACGGCGCCATGAACCCCGCAGGGACTCCCTTCCTGAGCACGCCGCTGTCGTCCACGAAGGTCATCGAACTCGGCCTCCTCGCTGCTGCTGCGGGAACTGGCGAGCCCGTCCAGCTCGCTCAACGCCAACGCCCCCAGCAGCGCTCACCCAAGGCGCCCGATGACTGGCACTGTGGTCGGGAAACGCGAGCCCTGGTCCGAACGAAGGGGCTGGCTGATCCCAGGGTTCAAAGCACGGGCATGGCCCGCAAAACTCTTAGACCCGAAACTTATGTCATATGTGAAGATTGATGGCGGTTATTTTGTTGCATGAGGTTGCCATCCAAGTGTGTTTAAAATAACGCGTACTGGGAGAAGGAGAAGGAGGAGATGAGTGCCCCCCTCCTTCAAGATGATGTGAAAGACTTGATGCACGAATGCGCGAATAATGGAAGGTAACCTGCAATGAATGGCATAACCAACCTCTCACGAATAGACCCGCAAAACGTCGGGGTGGGTCGTGATGCCGACTGGTGGTGCACAGTTCGATCAACTCGAGACCCCTCTGGGAACCTGGGAAGCTAGAAGAACAGAAAACTGCATAAACAATTCGTTTGGCGCTCCACGACGATTCTTTGGATCTGCGCTGGACACCCCTCCCTGGCGCGCGGAGCGCGCCATTCGCTGCGCAGGAGGTGCCTCTGAGGGGGCCCAGCGCGGATGCAAGAAATCTGCGAGTATCGCCCAAAGCTTATGTTCATGCCGCTGTTCTCCTTCGAGAAGTGGATTGAGGAGAAGAAGGAGGACGTCGATGCTGAGGGGAAAACGCAATCGAATGTCGTGGGCCTCGGCTCCCGAGGCCCCATCTTGAGGCTGCTCGTTCCGGGCACCTTCATGGAGCCAGCGGCTCCACTCGCGCGTCGAAGCTGCGTCGAACGTCCGTCGGTTCCGGTCGACCTTGAGTCCCTCGAGTCGAACCGGAGTCGAACCTGCGTCGCATTTGAGTCGCGCTTGAGTCGAACTGGGGCCGAGCTAGAGGCCGACAGATCGCCTGGGTGGGCACCAGGACGGTCCCCCGAAGCGAGCACCTACCACCCATCTAACGCATCGGCGATGCGGCGCGATCCTCCGGCCCCACCTGCTCCGACCCCACCTGCTCCGACCCCAGCTGCTCCGACCCCATCGGACCCACGCCCGCGCAACGTCAGCAAAGGAGGAGCGTGGAAGGGGAGACGAGGGCGGAGGGAAAGACGCAAGCGAGCGGTGCAAGCCTCGACATCCCCCGAAGCCCCATAAAACAGGGCTAGGATCGGGATAAATCGCTCCAGAGCGTTCCGGAGCGCTCTCAGAGCGTTCCGGAACGCTCTGGAGCGGCCGCGGCGCCCAAGACATCCTCCAAACCCGCTGATTCTCAGAGATTTCGAGCTATCCCGATCCGATGTTGTCCCGATCTTCGCGCCGTTTGACCCCACCCTCCGTCCCCAGAGGCTCGGCCCTCGTGCCCCGGGCCGCGCGAGGCCGAGCTGGGGGCAGACGCGAGGATGATGGGCAGATTTTACACCACCACTACCATATGTAGGATGAGGTCCTCCTCCTCCTCCTCCTCCTCCTCCTCCTCCTCCTCCTCCTCCTCCTCCTCCTCCTCCTCCTACGTGGTGGTGGAAAATGCCCTGGGCAGAGGAGGGGGGGGGCCAGGGCGGGCTCGGCGCCGCCAGGCCCCGCGGGAGAGCAGGTCCCCGAGCAGCTCCGGGGCCAGGTCGCCACCGTCGCCCCCGTCGTGGACCTCTCCCGGGGCGGAGCCGACTCGCGCCGCGGAGTGGCGCCGCGGAGTGCGGGAGGGACGAGCGCCAGCCAGGGATCCGCCAGGGGGGGAGGGGGCCGCTCCCTCCCCCCGAGCTGGTGGCACCTCTCCTTCCGGGAGCTCTCTGGAGGCATGCCCAGGACGAGGTGCCACCAGCTCGAGAGGGTGGGATAGCCGCCCCCCTAGCTGGTGGTAGTGGTGCTCTTGTCTCTGGTGGGAAGTCGGACTGGATCGGAAACTTGCCGCACCGACGGCGGATCGTCCCGAATCGAATCGAGATCGGATCGCCGAGCCAGGCTCTCGTTGACTGCGGCCGATGTGGACGGTGCCCCCGAGGCCGTAGGCGACCCGAGGAGGGGAGGGCAAGGAGGAGGACGAGGAGGAGAAGGAGGAGGACAAGGAGGTGGAGGAGGACAAGGAGGAGGAGGAGGAGGAGGTGGAGGAGTAGGAGGAGGAGACGGACGGATCGCCTAAACCCTTCGGAGAAACCCTCTAGGCCGATGCCAGTGAACCGAGCAGAACCGGATCGAATCGGACTCGCGGCCCAGCCAGCAAATCGAATCGCATCGAGTCGGATCGCATGCGGCCCTGCCTCCCACCCCCGCGGTCTGCTCGACATCCGCTGCGGCCCACGACGACGCTGGCGACGACGTCGCCGACGCGGCTGCGGAGGCTCGTGCGCGCTTCGAAGAGTTTTCGTCGCCAAGGCTGGGCACGGCTCGAGAAACGGGCCAGGGGGCGCGGCCGAGGGATCAGTATGGGGACCCGTTTGGAACTGATCTTGCCTCTGAGCCCTTCCTTTTCCTCCTCCTCCTCCTCCTCCTCCTCCTCGTTTGGTCTTCGGGGAGTCCGCTAGTCGCCTTTGCTGAAGGCAGCTCGACAACGAAGCAGGATGACCCTCGGATGGGTCTAGCTTTGAAGGAATCTCAGTCCGTAGGCCTAAAGCGCGATGGCACTAGCTTCCAGTGGAAGTTTCTAGCAACGCCGAAGGGTTCACATCAAAATCACCTCATCAGAAATCTCCACATGAAGATCACCGCTTCTTCCACTGCGATGGCCTCGCGATTAGAGGATGACGCATCGGCGATTTTGACAATCGTCTGGCAATGTTCATTGGATTCTGACCTCTAGGTTATATCGGGACCGGCCAAGAGGGGGGGTGCAAGAGGGGGGGGGTGCAAATCATGACCGGCGGCATGTGCGCGGCCCAGCGGGGGGGACAGGGACGTAATGAAATAAGAAGAGGCGCCATGAAATCTGGGGAAATATCATGGCCCCCGCCATGATATCCACCCCCCCCTAGTCATCACCCCCCCCCTTTTTCGCTCCCGATTCTAGGCCGACCAGAAATCAACTCAAGCCTCCCCGGGACGATTCCGGCCTGCCCGCAAGGCATTCGTCGAGGCGCAGCTGATGGATGGGCATCGCCATGGGACCAAGAGAACGCCCAGTTACCCCCCAACACATCATGGGGAAAGGGTACTGGACATCAAATCGACCCCCAGGGCTGCCCTGGAGCACGTTCTAGTCAGGAGCTCGAAGCGCATCCTGTCGAGCGAGTCGCGTCGAAATCCTCGGCCATCCTATCCTCCTCCTGTCTCCTCTGCAAGCCACGACAGGGAGGCGAAGGGAGACGCATACCTAAGAACGTCGTGACTTTGTTCAATCCGTGGGGCTCCAAGGAGGGACAGGGGAGCAGGGGGTGAGGGGTATCGTTAATTATAGGGGAAAGGCTCAGGGAGAAAACATCAACGTGGCATCCGCGATACATCCCCGATAGATCGGCGATCGGCCCCATGATAGTGGATCTCAAGGTTCCTGGGCGGGGGGGGGGGCCATCGAGCCCTGATCTGCGATCAACTGGTCGGGGGCCGATGCATCCCTTCGAGCCCTGAGCATATCACCCCCTGACATGGCCCCCCTGGGGCAGGAGGAACCACGAGGCGAAGGACCCTGCACACCCTCCCATCCTGGCCATCGCTCGGACGTCCATTCCCTGTGCTTTTTGTTGGTTTCGTGCGTGGATTTTTCGCCAAATGATCGAGGATGCTCCTCAATGGTCCTCGCCGAAGGAAAAATGCAGACGTCCGAGCGATGCCAAGCATCTATCGTGCCTGCAAGGACTCCGCGCCGCGCGCGGGTCCCGTGGGGCACCAGGACAGGGCCTCCGAGGCATCGGCTCTCAACGGGCGGCCGTCCCGAGGAGGAGGCCCGAGGACGAGGAGCAGGCAAGTGGAGAAAGACCGCGGCAACTTGACGTCGCCACGCCGTTGGCGTCCGTTCCTGACACCGCGGCGGCCGCGCCTTGCAGGCAGCGCCGAGCGTTGCGCATCGGCCGATCCCGGACCCCGGCAGCGTGAAAGCCTTGAGCGCCAGCGCTGCGGTCAACGACCTCGCCGACGCGACGCGGGCCTTGAAATACCGCAGCAAAATCCGACGGAGGAGGGATGATCGACCAAAAAAGAGCCACTACCCTTTGGGAGGGGACCGAAGTTAGGAGGGCCAACAACATCAGGGATAGGGCGTTTTTTTTCTTCTGGACGTCTCAGACCAAGCCACCCAGAATTATCTGCCCTCATGCGAAGACGGGGACCTCAGTGAGGCCACGTCTTCGTCGTGTGACTAGGGTTTGGGGTTCTTTTGCGGTCGATGAAGGGAGGGGGGCCGGGGCCCCAGCAGGTGCCCCCAGAGTCGAATCGACAACTCGGATCGGCGATCGAAATGGATCGGATCGGCGGAAATCGGCAGCCAAGTCGGGAAAAGTCGAATCGGCGGAAATCGGCAGCCTAAAAGGCCTCCGTTATGAAATCGGAGCCCAATCGGAATCGCATGTCGAATCGAATCGGAATCGGAAGCCACCAAAATCGTATCGAATCGAATCGGAGGAATCGAAATGAGCCCTGGCGCATGCTCCCCGCGGGGCCTTGCGGCACGTCTCGGACACGATGGCGTGAACCGCTGGGCCGGGCCGTCCCAGCGCACCGGCCCCGGGGGCGCAGAGGAGGGGCGAGGTGGAGGGGGAATAAAAAAAGGCCGAGGGCCGAGGCGGAGCAGCATCGAGGATCGAGACGGAGGGGGAGGGGGCGGGGCGAGGTCCAGGGAGGAGGAGGAGGGACGAGGCCGAGGGCGGAGGAGGATCGAGGATCTCGAGGATCTCGAGGAACTCGAGGATCTCGAGGGTTGGGGGTGGCGCTCCCCCGTCCCGAGCCTCCCGAGGCGCCCTCGTCGCCACGGCCTGGCCCGCCCCGAGAGCTCTGAGGGGCACGCGCCCCAGAGGAGGTCGGGGTGCGGAGCGGGGGAGTGCGAGCAGCGCCGCTCGTCCACAGCACGGCTCGAGCTGAACCAGGTGTTTCGTTGTCGTGCTGTTTTCGTGTTCTTCGCCATGTCTTCGTGCTTCCCTTGGCGCAAGGCGAACACAACACGCGAAAAAAAACCAACGAAATCGCAGAGACACAGTGAAGCTCGAGCACCGGTCCGAAGCACGCCAGCCACGCACCACTGGGTCTGCAACGCACCCGTCCCAGCTCCCGAGTGCCTCCGCACAGGTCAAAGCTGCATCGCCTTCTGGGGGAGGAGATCAGAATTGTATGCTTGGAAATGAGCACCGGAAAACAGATTCGGTGGCAATTCTGGGTGGCATCCCTACCATCGTGGTGACTTATGCGAACCGACGCTAAATCGACGCCGATCGACTCCAATCGACGCTAAGTTGGCGCGATCGTGTCGATTGGCAAACGCTAGATCGACGCTAACGCACTCGAGAGGCGGAATTGCGAGGACCTACGGGGCTCCCACGATCTGCTACCGAGGGGAAGCGGGCCACGGGGAAGAAGGCATGACGAGGCACGACCGAGGCACGGAGGGGGGAAGACTGCGGCGACGACCGCGGCCACCACCACCACCACGACGAACCCGCTACCGACGTCGAGCACACCGAACGGGCCCAGGCGCAGTGGGCTACGCCTGAAGTCGAAGCACGAGCGACGAGAAGATACGGGTCTCACGCCGCATGTCATGGCGACCTTGCGGCGCGGAGGCGTAACCTCGAGAAGTAGTTAAGACCCCCCCTGTTTTATCTTGGCACCGCAATTTTATTCAATTTTCCACCGTGGCATTTTTCGCGGAACGATATGTTTAGCACCGCGCGCTTTTGTGTATATAAAAAAACCCGCCCCCGGGCTCGGGTGGGATCCCCATTGGGACCTAGAGGCGTCGGATTTGAATTCGGTTGGATACGAGCACTAATAATCCGCCGACCCCTTGGGGATCATCGGCGTGTGAGATGCTTCCCCTTCCCCAAACCCCTCCCCCCGGAGCCCGGTCCCGTCGATTTGGAGGGGGGGGGCCGTCCAGCCAGAGCTCACCAGGGGGGTCCGGCCCTTCCCGGGCTCCTTTGGGAGGTCCACGACAGCTTCTGGGGCCGCCCAAGATGCACCCAAGACAGTCCGAGAGGCCCCCCACGCCCAGGATGGCCCCAGAAGCCTCCCTGACGGCCAAGGAAACCTCCAAGAGCACCCCCAAGAGGGGCTCAAGAGGCCAAAATCGCTAAATTCTCGTTGGGAAACCTACATATGTATATTGCACGGGTTTTCGGCCTTCACGGCGTTGACGACGGACCGAGTCCCCCAAGACTGCCCCAAAACGACTCGACAGGTTCCCAAGAGGCTCGAAACGGCCCAAGAAGGCGCCAAGACGGCCCAACAGGCTCCCAAAAAACCCAAAAAGCGCCCCAGGATGGCCCAATGAGGAGCCCGAGCGGAGGAGCCTGAATCCACAATCCGAGCCTTCCGCCCCGAAGAGGCCCCAGGGGGGCCAAGAGGCGCCCAACAGGACCCCTGGGGCCCCCAAGAGGCCCCCCCCATGAGGCCCCAAGAGGCCCCCCGAGAGGCCCCGAGAGGCCGCCAGGAAGCTCGAAAGACGCCCCGAGTGCCACTTGAGGCATGCAACGTCTAGCCCGCAGCCCAGGCATCGAGGATCTCAGGCCGACAACCAAGGCACGGCGTCGGGATGGGCCGAAGGCCACTATACATGTGTGTATATATATACACACATATATATATATATATATAAATACTAGTGTGGACCCGTGGATTAAATCCACGAAGTTGGGCGGATCGAAGCATGGTGGCGCGCGCTGGGTGGTGCGACGCTGCCAGCTACTGCCGTAAATCCCTTGAAGCTTGTTCTAGTGCTGTTCCCCCGCCGAAGGCGCCCAATGCATCGAAACGGGGGCCGATGTGTTCAAGCTTCGCAAGAGGCAGAAATTCAGGAGTCCAGGCCTGAGCAACGTTGGAAGATTCGCGCCGGGATCGCGGCGGACGCGGGAGCGAGCTCGGGCAAACGCGGCGCCGTCTCGGGCCGCGTCAGAGGCGTCGGAACGGCGTCGCGGCAAAGTAGGGAACGCAGCGGGGCAGCCCCAGAACCACCGGAGCGTCAAAACATATTTTTTCTAGGGCCTGCGAGGGGCCTCTCGCCTCTCGTCCGCACCCCTCTGTTGGAAGCAATTTTGAAGCTTCTTGGGTGCCGCTTGGGAGCTCTATGGGGGCTGTTTTGGGCTCCTCGGGGGCTTCTCGGAGCCCTCTTGGGCCGGCAGGGCGCCTCGTGGGCCGTCTTGGGCCATCTTGGGCGCCTATCGGGCCCTCTTGGGGGCCGTCTGAGGCGATCTTGGAAGCCTCTGGGGCCGTTGGGGACGCTTCGAAAAGCAATATACCGAATCTGCTGAAAATGTCAATTTCCCGAAGGAATGTGAAATTTAGCTTGAAAGAACCCTTTCGGGGGACCCCTTGGACCCGCCTGGAACCGTCCGGGGGCGTCTTTGGGGCTCATGGGGCCGTCTGGAGAGCAGCTTGGGCCGCCTGAGGTCGTCTCGGGGCCTCCATAGGCCGTCTCGGGGCTGTCCTGGGCCCCTCTTTGGCCTCTCGTGGGGTCCTCTTGGGTCGTCTTGGGCGCCTCTTGGGCCGTCCTGGGCCCGTCTGGAGCCATCTTTGGGCCCTCTTGGGGCCGTCTTGGGCGACTTGGACGCTTCGAAGACCAATAAGCCGAATCTGCTTAAAATGTCAATTCTCCGCAGGGACTGTAACGATTTTTGCTTGATGGAGCCCTTTCGGGAGACCCCTTGGACCCGCCTGGAGCCGCCTGGGGGCGTCTTTGGGGCTCATGGGGCCGTTTGGAGAACATCTTGGACCGCCTGAAAGCCGTCTTGGGTCGTCTCGGGGCCTCCATGGGCCGTCTCGGGGCTCTTCTGGGGAGCTCAGGTGCTGTTTCGGGCCCTTCCTGGGGCCCTCCAGAGCCGTTTCGGGGTTCTCCTCCGGGAGCTGGGGGCCCCCGCAAACCCACGAAGGGTCTTTCGGATATATATATATATATACATATATATATATATATATTATATATATATATATATAGATGTCTGTCTGTCTGTCTGTCTGTCTGTCTGTCTGTCTGTCTGTCTGTCTGTGTGCGTGCGTGCGTGCGTGCGTACGTGCGTGCGTGCGTGCGTGCGTGCGTGCGTGCGTGCGTGCGTGTGTGTGTGTGTGTGTGTGTGTGA